AGGTGGACTATCTCTCGCTTTCTGACGTCGACACGATGGAGGAGCTAGAAGTGGTGGATGGCGCGAAGGGAGGCATCCTCAGTGGGGCGATATGGATGCAGCCCCTCGAAGGCATACGCGAAGGTGAAGATCTCGGCTACGGCCAGGGACCACGCGTCCGCCTAATCGACAACATCATCCTCCCCCCACACGACGAGTAGGAGTTTCCATCCGGCAAGTTCGCATGGCTTTTGCATTGTCCGGCGTCTTCGGTTTATTTATTTCAGCGTGTGTTAGCGAGCTCATAAATGTGTTCTCGGGCTGAGGGATTGGCACTGGCGTGCTTCTTTGTACATGCGCGTATGAAATAGAATTTTAGATATGCTTTCGCGAGTCTTTCCCAGATGGACTTACAAGCCAACAGATACAAAGAAGCTCAATACTGGTGAACCTATTGTGCTGCCTAGATGAGTGGTTCTTCCCCGGTTTCCCAACCTCCATGTCTGTGTCCTTGCCCGGAGATGTTAGACGAAAGAACTGGATATGGCATCGAATCCCGTTTCTCCTGGATCCAGTATTGTCCCTATAGGTACCAGATGGTGGCAGTCATGCCGAGCAGAGGTCTCGAAGGTCGTCAAACGGCAAGTCAGCAAGCCGGCCGGCCGTGCCAAACCGATCCATCCGAAGCCGTCGTACCCCTACCCCTGCCCCTGACCTTCGCCCACACAAAGATTTTGCACACGAGGCCCTTGTACGACTCCAGCTGAGCTATCCGATTCGCCCAAGTCCACCCCGCTCGCACAATTCCTCCAAAATAACCGGAAACTTAACCGAGACCTTTCAACAAGGCAATCAAGGTCCGCTGGCTCAATGGCAGAGCGTCTGACTACGATGACTCTCTTCGGAGATCAAGTAGGTACATCAGGAGGTTCCAGGTTCGACCCCTGGGTGGATCGAGAGAATTTTTTACATTTTTCCTTACTTTTGTGTCTTTTTTTTTCTTTCTTTTTTTTTTTTTTATTTATTTATTTCTGGCCATGTATCAGTCATGTGTTAGCCTGAGCTAGCCCGGTCTTCTTCCTTCTCTTGTCATCGAAGGCGGTTCAAGACTGAGGTCGTCACTAGTTCGACCCCTGAGTGATTTATTTTCACTTTCACCCCTGAGCCCCTCTGATTACTTGAGATATTTTCAGTTCACAGCCTGAAGGTTTGAGGCAAAATACAATCTTGGCCCCTCTTTTTGGGAGGCAAGTGTGTTGATTATGTATTATTCTCTAGCGACTGTATTATTCTCATTCATGAGACCAGGATCCATTTTAGGATATGTATTAGTTAGTCGATTGCATGATAGTTGGTTGCCCTTTCGGGTTAGGCCCGCCGGGCGGAATAAATTGTGTGTGTGTGTGTGTGTGTGTGTGTGTGTGTGTATTATTCTTATTGATTGTGAACTGTGTACGGTGGATTTGTGGCGGGTTGTCTCGGTTCCGCCATCACCTTCATTGCGGATTGCGGTTTGCGTCCGGACGTACCGACCCCACACAGGGCCCCTCCGTCAATACAAAACAGATTCCCCAAGCCGTTGGAGATCGGCCTCTTGACCAAACCCCATTTTGACTGAGCCCTCTATTATTACACGCGCTTATATCGAGGCTCTGCAGGTGCTAAAACTAAGACATTGGCTATCCTTGGCTCCTTGGCCACATGGATGCTCAAGTTGTCAACCGCGCTTTTGGCTGGCAGCCCTAGTGAACTGTGGCGAATAAGTGAGAGAACGCGATGCATGGGAATGAAAACCTACCTCTGCCTTGAAGTCGGTATGTTGATGAATATCCCGCTGTCTCGCATTACTGGATGACGCGGACACGGCGATTACTTGGTTCGGAGGGGATCATGGCGCCCCCAATGAAGAAGTTGTTTCCTCCGCCATCCCTCACAGCTTCTTGGAAAAGTGTGCCCTGAACTTCCTCGACGCGCGATCGGCCGACCGGAACTGGAACTGCTCCCCATGGATCTCAAACACCATCGTCGACGTCTGCACCTCTCCCTTCTCCCCCTCCCCCTCCCCCAAACCCGACACCGACACCGGCACCGGCACCTCGAACCGAAACACCGTCCCCTCCTTCGGCACCAACTTGAGCACATCCCTCCTCGTCACCACCTCAAACGCAAACTTCGAATCCTTCACCACAATCCCCCGAATCCCCACCCGACTCACACACCCACTCCGCACCACCTCCACCCCCGCCCCATGAAAATCCGCACTGGCCAACTTCGCCGCCGCGCCCTCCCCGCCCGTGTAGACCTCACTGCCCAAAATCTCGCGCACGTAGCCCAGCCACAGCTGGTGCAGCGGCTCGAAGAGCGCGTAGCGCTGCGCCTCGCGCGGCACGTTGTAGAGGCCGAAGCGGCGGCGCTGCGTCGCGGAGAGCGGTTGGGGCTTGAGCGCCTTCTTGCGCTGCTGTTTTTTCTTCTCTTGGGCGCGTCGGCGGGCGGCGCGCGCGTTGGAGGGGGGTGGGGAGGACGGGGCCAGGAAGAGAGGGCGTTGTTGGATCTTTTCGGTGAAGATGCGCGTTGCGTCGTCGGGGTCGTGCGCACGTGCGAGCAGGATCGCGGCGATGGGTTGGTCTTTGGGGCGTTTGGTGTCCATGGTGGGAGGTTGGGGGGTTGTGGATTGTTGGGAGGATCGTGTTTTGGTGTTGGGTGTTTTCTGTGACTTTTGGTCCATCACCTAAAAGTTTCTAATGGTCCCGCACAGCGCTGCGAGCTTTTGAGCTTGGCTGTTTAGCTGCATTCCTGGCCCCGCGCTAGGCTGTCTTAGGCCTGGCTGTCCCCGGTTCTGGAACCCCACGACCCCTCCATGACCCCAGACCATGCGGCACCCTTGTCGGCATGATGCCCATGTTCCCCTGGAAAGTCCAACCTCGGGAACCAGAGGAAAGCGCCGGCATTTGATCCATCTTCCCAATTTCCAACTTCAGAATGCGCCGGCCACTGACCTTTCTTGTCTTCCAACACCACGATTCGCTTCTACCGAAATAACCGAAATCAACGAAGGGTACGGCATTCAGACCATCAATCGAACGATAAAGGAGAGAAAAGGGGAACACACCACTTAGTCTGCCGTCCAGAACCACAGTCATAAACCGCGCCATGGCTCCAGACGACCGCCATGACTCGGCGCCCGATTTGCGCATATTGGGCGACCGCATCACCCTCCAGCCCAGCGGCTTTGTTGAGCCGGAGCACACTGGAGAGGGCAAGGAAGAAGCCCTCATGAAGAACATGGCGCGCTTCCGCTCTGAGCCATTGCGGTACGCCACCACCCCTGATGGCCCTTTTTTTCCCCTTCCCTAACTGGCCCCCAGCTTCCTCCGCGAGGTCTCCCTCTACGTCTCCGGCACCGGCTGGCGCGCCTACGACAACGTCATTGGCCAGCCCATCTTTTACTCGGGCTTTTCGGAGCATATCAAGACCGAGATGATGTCGGCGACCCTGTTACAGACCAAGATCGCGCAGCTCGCCGACATGCGCGTCGCCGTCGAGGAGAAAGAAGGCTTGCTCAACGGGAGCGACAGTGATCTTGCGGCGAAAAAGGCACGCCGCCGCGCCGCGCTCGTCCAGAACCTGCAGGAGGTGGCTGAGAAGCTGGCGGACAACATGATCTGCAAGTTTGACAGCAAGCCGTTCATCCGGGGCGCGTACTATTTGGTGACGCAATTGCTACTCAGGGCGTATCATCAGGGGATCCATGTGTCGAGCGAGGAGGTGTTGCGGCTGAGGAGTGTCGCCGAGGAGGCGGCGCGGAAGAAGCAGAGCATCATCTTTCTGCCGTGCCATAGGTCGCATGTCGACTACGTCTCTCTGCAGCTGCTCTGCTACAGGCTAGGATTGGCCCTTCCTGTTGTAGTGGCCGGTGATAACCTGAACTTCCCCGTAGTTGGGAGTTTCTTGCAACACGCCGGTAAGTGCTCCGCTGTGTTTGATGCTGCTTAATGCTGATTATACCAAGGTGCCATGTACATCCGCCGGTCCTTTGGCGACGACCAGCTCTACTCAACTCTCGTCCAAACCTACATCGATGTCATGCTCCAAGGTGGCTACAACCTCGAGTGCTTCATTGAGGGCGGCCGGTCACGGACGGGGAAGCTGCTTCCGCCCAAGTTCGGGATCCTCAACTTTGTGCTCGACAGTCTTTTGTCAGGGCGGGTCGAGGACGCCATCATCTGCCCCGTCAGCACCCAATACGACAAGGTGATCGAAACTGAGGGCTACGTTACAGAACTGCTGGGTGTACCAAAGAAGAAGGAGAATCTGGCAGACTTTCTCACGGGGGGGTCTAGTATCCTCTCTCTCCGGCTGGGAAGGGTTGACGTGCGGTTCCACGAGCCGTGGAGCTTGAGGGGGTTTATCGACGAACAGCTTTCGAGGCTGTCCAAGATGCCGTCGGCAATCAACGTCGACTGGAGGGACATGAAGAACCAGATGCTTCGCCAAAAATTGTTGCGGACACTCGGATACAAGGTGTTGGCCGACATCAATGCTGTCTCGGTGGTGATGCCCACAGCGTTGATTGGGACCGTTTTACTGACCCTCCGTGGTCGTGGTGTTGGGCGAAGGGAGCTCATCTTGCGCGTGGAGTGGCTGACGAACAGAGTAAGAGCCAAAGGCGGGAGAGTCGCTCACTTTGGCAATGCACCCCTCTCGGACGTCGTCCAGCGAGGTCTGGACGTACTAGGAAAGGATCTCGTGGGCGTCGTCGAGGGCCTCCCGGAGCCCACATACTACGCCGTGGACCGCTTCCAATTGTCTTTTTACCGCAACATGACCATCCACCTCTTCATCTCGGAAACCCTAGTCGCGACTGCGTTATACACGAAGGTGAAGCAGGGAGGCGGGCCGAGCATCCAGGACATTCCGTACCGTGACTTGTCTGATCAAGTCCTGTTTCTGTCATCCCTCTTCCGCGGCGAGTTCATTTACTCTGGCGAGGGCCTCGCAACCAATCTTGAGAGAACACTCCTCGGTCTCGAAGCCGACAACGTTATCCTCCTTGAGCGGGATGAGGAGGGGAATATCACGAAGGTTGGCCTTTCCGGTGCAGAGCGAGCCGCCGGGCGGGAGAATTTTGATTTCTACTGCTTCCTGATCTGGCCCTTCATCGAGGCAAGCTGGCTGGCGGCTGTCTCGCTAATGGGCCTGGTCCCGCCGGCGGGACAGAAGGATGACATCTGGGTGCAGGTGTCCAAGGCACAGGACAGCGCGCAACTGGTACGTTTGAGTCTCTGAACCACCCCATTCAACTAGCTAACCATATCCCGTTGTGTTCCACAGCTAGGCAAAACCCTCTACCACCAAGGCGACCTGTCCTACTTTGAAGCCGTCAACAAGGAAACTCTCAAAAACTCATACCAACGCTTCGCCGAGGAAGGGATCATCCAGGTGGTCAAGTCGAAAGATACACGCATCCCACCACGGCTGCGCATCGCGCCCGAGTGGCGGCCGGGGCGCGACAAGGAGACGGGCGAGCTGCTGCCGGCGGGTCGACTGTGGGACTTTACGGAGAAGATCGCCTCGAGCCGGCGGGAGGGCAAGAACCGGCGCGACGGTGCCACCGTCAGCTCGCGTGTGCTGCGCCTGACGAATGAGCTCGGGCGGAAGCTCTTTGAGGAGGCTGTTGAGGGGGAGACGGGGAAGGGGAAGGGTAAAGGGAAGGGGAAGGCGGCGGTGCCGGCGAGGTTGAGTAGTGAGGATGAGAGGAGTCTGAGTCGGACGGTGAGGGAGCAGGAGAGGAAGCGAAAGCTGGAGAGGAGGGCGCATTTGTAGGGTTGTTATTGTGGGGCTGGTTGAGAGGGCAGGGGCTGGTGTGGTGTATTTTTTCTCTTGGTGGGAGGAGTTCGATATCGGTTAGGATACCAAAGGCGTGTTGTGTTGCATATTGTAGTCTAATGTATTAGTGTCTGCTATAGAATGCGGGTGGCTGAGAAGTGGACAGAAGGTAGATTCATTAAAATCAACTGCCTGTTTGTTTACTCGGATTAGGCCCTTGGATTTCGATCGTTGCTCTGCCGGGGTATGGAAAAGTGACCATGGTCAAACCAGGCTATATAGATTGCGTTGTTGGCGTCAATTTCCGACAGATCCCACGGCAGACCGTTCCTGGTGCGATGGTGAGGATGTGAACCCCTCGGGGGCAAGACACGGCACCGAGGCTGGCGAATGACCACAGCCTATTTGTTCGATCCAGTTAGGTCGTGCAATCTTTCTTGTATTCTTTACAAGAGAGTTTTATTCTCTGCTCGCCCAACTCCAAAGTTCGAACCATGAAAAAAGAAAAACAGACTAGAAGGAGCTTGAGGTATTCTCGATGACCTAAGCTTCTATACACCCATCCACGACTTAAGGACCATTCCCGCCCCTAAAACACATCCCACAAGCTAACCTTGCCATCCTTGCTCCCCGCAGCCAGCCAATGTCCCTCCCTCGCCAGCCGCTCCCTCTTCTCCCGCACCGTAATATCGACCAGCTTAGGCACGGCCACTACCTCCTTACCCTGTCCACCCTGCTGCTGCTGTGACGACCCCTCACCCTCACCCTCACCCTCACCCTCACCATCACCATCACCATCACCCTCCCCATTCCCCACCCCCCCTTCCCCCTCCCCCCGCGCTCCATCCACAGTAGCAACATCCGCAAACGCAGCCGCATAACACCCCACACCATGCCACTTCAGCACGGCCACCTCGGCAAGCGTCCGCGCCGAGTACACACGCACGCGGGCGTCCCATCCCGCGGTGGCAAAGACGCGGCCGTCGGAACGGATGCGCAAGGATTGCTGGCCGGCGTGGCGCGTGTTGTGGGTTTTGAGGGGGGTCGTGGTTTGGGGTTGGGTTTGTGTGGAGTTGGAGTTGATTGGGGGGGTTGGCGTTGGGGGGGTGTTGGAGGTGGTGGTGGAGAGGGCGGCGGTGAGGAGGGATTTTGGTGGTGGTGGTGGTGGTGGTGGTGGTGGTGTTGTTGTTGTTGGTGGGTTGTTGGGTTTTTCTGCTGGTGGCGGGGGTGGGATGCTGGGGGTGGTGTTAGGTTGGGGCGGTTGGATCGTTGGCGAGGGCGCCGGGAGAGGGTGTTTGGCGATGATGGCGTCGGCGCTGGAGGTGAGGAAGTAGTCCCTGTTGGGGGACACGTCGAGTGAGAGGACCGGCTGGGAGTGGCACTTTGCATGGTACCTCACGGCCCAGTTGCCGTGGTCGCCGAGCTGCGCTACCGTGGCTGCGCCGTTCTCGTAGCCGGCGACGAGTGTCAAGGTCTGTCCCAGGTGAAACAACGAGAGGGCCATGACCATTCCATTCTTCTCGCCCAGCTTTACCGTGTGTTGCCGGGCTTGCGAGGGCAGGTGGAAGATGTCGATCTGGTGTTCTGGTCAGCTATTGTGTCAGGCTAAATGGTTGCGAGAGACTCACGGCTTCAGACGCCAGGGTGTTGGGCACTGTGACTAGGATCTCGGGTGATGCAGCACCCGACCCCGGAGAAACGGGACAATGGGAGAATGAACAAAAGTTCATGGTGTTGACCTCGAGCATGTACAGGATCCATGGCTGGGGCCGCGCCTCGGAGGTCGGGTCCAAGGGCAACTTTTTACTTAGGCCACTCTCTTCCTCTGCCGTGAATTTCCACACTATGAGTTTGTTGTCTCTTCCATGACTGCCGAATTCTCGTCTCAGTATTTATTTGTCCCCGCGCAAGGCTTGACGGGTGCCAGGCACCAAACACCAGCATCTACCTACGTGATCAACCGGTCATTTCCCCAACCAGCGATTCCCAATATGGCGTTGCCATGAGCCTGCCATACCGCTTTCGGACGCATGACAGTGAGATCCCATGCGACAACAAAACCGTCTGCATCGCCAGTCAAGAGCCAGGTCGTTTCCTCGCACGAAGGTTGCAGCGTGCACTTGGGGCCTTGTGCCCGCGCAAGATGGATTTGGGCTGCGCGGGTCGCCCATCAGTGGCCATCTCGTGATGTTAGTGAGGGTTGGCTGCGGAGGCAACTGAGAGTGACTGCTGTTGTGGGGAAGCGAGGTTTGGAAGCGGCCTGGAAGAGTGGATTCTTCAGACACTCAAGCACTCAGCAATTGAAGGCCACGCTAAGCCGAATTTGAACCGTCTAAGAGAAGTTTGCCCGACTCCGATTCCATGAACTCGCCATGAATGACGTCATCCGGAGAGTTTTGAGGGCTCAGAAAACAATGGTTCCCCTTTCTTGACTTTCAATTCTGTACACTGTAAAGTTATCCCATGGATGAAGCATATGGGCATCCAGGGTAATTTTGTAAGGTACGTTGTGGAACCGCCTACCCGTCCGGTGGTGGGTATGGTGGGGCCTTGAATTAGATGCACCGACCACCCCCCAATATTTCGTAGCGGGGGATTCTCTCTCTTGTCTCGTTATCTCTCTATATCTTCCCAGACCCTCCACGTAGCCACGGGTTTTCCTGTGAAACCGTTAGAGAAGCCAAGTAGTTATCCTATTTCCAGTAATGCCTATCTCCTTAGTTTGGGCTCATCTCGGGACACGACGTTCCGCAGCCTCGACGGAACAAGGGCGAGCTGGCGGCGCTGAAGGAGGCGCTGAAAACTCTGAACTCATACAACGACGGATACGTAGGCTGACCGCGTGCACTGTTCAGTCTCCTCTCTGACAAGTTTTCTGGATACGCTTTGCGGAGAAATAGACAAACAGAGATTGGGACGCTTATGAAGACTTCTACACAAGAATAACTGCCAGTGACTGGAG